TATTTATAAATATATTCACATTATAATACAAAGTTTAATAACATGATTTAAAAAGAATGAAGAACATGGTTTTTGAAATCTTTGAAGTTTTGTTAAGTTTTTTTCTCAAGTTAGATCATAAACTTATCTTCTTTTCTACTCTCACTCACAAATTTTTCAAAAACTTCTTTGAAAAAAGCTCAAATACAATGCATAAATACTTGGGATATAAAAAATAAATTTTTTTGGCAGATGCATATTGTGATTGGAGAGTGAAACTTCAAGAAAGCACAAAAAAACTACAATTATGCTTTCTTCTCCATCTAGGACCAAACTTCACCTTCAATTGCATTGTGTGCATGTAATAAAATATACATTTTAAAATCCGTCCATATTTAGTTAAATTCTAACATTTCATATTCAATTAAACTTCAATAATGACAAATCCATGCAACAAATGAGAACTACTATTTGTTTTAGCAGTTTATCTTAAGTTCACATCACAAGGTCCTACTTATATTATGAGCCTTGAGTATGAGACAATTAAGTGCTTAATAGATTATTTTTTTGTTAAACACCTTTTATTTGGACAACATTCAAAGAGACTTTGAGACCATGTGAATCAAAAACTATTGTTGCTTATGAGTCAGAGCATCTTTCAAAGCTTTGAGTCTTTTTTTGTAATTTAGGATCCCTTGTAAAATACCTTGATTAATTATAAAACATCTTTTAGAATGCCTTGATCATCTATAAAATGCCGTATGGAATGCCTTGTGATCTTTAAAGAAGACAATTTTTTTTGATAAAAACAAAGATTCATCCATGCAACCATCAAAACCACTATGTGAACCTTGTAGAATTATCCAATTGAGTGCAAAATGCAATGATAAATTATAAAACAAATTATGAATTCTACAAAATATGAACCTTTTTGATGAAAACAAATGCCCATTCACGTAGTGAAGAAGAACCATCACGTTTTTTTCTTGAGCAATCTTAACATATAGACTAGATGAACTTGTGTTATTATCATGGAAAGTTTGATTCAAATGAAGCTATTTTTGTGAGCTAGAGAATATTTTTTAAATTCAAATAAAATACAATAAAAATAAAAATAAAAAATTACATAATAGAGCTTTCATGTATGAAGTAGGATAAGTAAATCCATACTATTTTTATAAATAATATACAAAAAAATAGTTAATTTAGTTCAAGAAATTACTTATAAAAATATAAAAAATATTAAATCACTACTTGAAGTTGAAAAAAAGGAAAATTGAAAAAAATCACAAGCGTATTAATTCAAGGCCAATTTGCAATTAGATTTTGGATTTACCAAGAATTCATGCTTAAGGGAGTTTAAATTGAAGAATGGTGATTATGAAGGCTTTGATGGTAAGAATCCTGACTGATTTCTAAGTAAGCTAATTAGAATTAAAATTGTAGTTGAAATTTACAACTAAATTAGTAAATTAATTGGTTCTTATGATTTAGAACTCAGATTTGGGCTTGTGAATAATCGATCTTGGGATAAAAATACATTTTAGAGATATTGGTGGTGTTAGTTTTACCAAAAAGGTGTTAGTTTTGAGTTCTAGGCATTTCCAGCCTTGAAATCGGGGTTAAGCTAAGAGTTATTGAAGACCCTTGATCTTGATTTGAGATTTTCTGATTTTGATGGTGGGGATGTGTCTGCCACTTTTGTGCCTCCTCCCACCTAGTTAACAGGGCTTGGGTGGCCAAGCTCTCTCTCTCTCCATCTTCTTGTGGCAAAGCCATGGCAAAATGTCCTCCCATCTTGTGAATACAAATCTTCTTCTTTAAACTTATATGGCCTCAGTTTTAACTCACTCAATCTATCTTTCTTTTTCTTTTTTTTTTTTTTTGTGAAACCTTGTAAGAAAATTTTAATCACTCTTAGCTTCATAACAGCATAAGGCAAACTTGATTTGAAGTTGTGACAAATTTTTGGCGAGTTTTTAAAGTAACAAGGATCTACTGCCTTGGCAGAGTAGGAGTATTAGCTTAAAAAATCTATAACTCAGTGACCTGTGACTCAACTTTGATATCGATTATTGAAATGAATGCACTCTAAAGTTTAGTTTACTAAAAAATTTAAATCACTAATTCTTGAGCTATATCAAATTTTTAATGATTTTTTAAACACAAAGGAATCTGCTACCTTGGAAGTTTTGAACAACTAGCTTTGAAACATTGTATCTTAGTATTTACCTACATTTTTGTACTAAAATTTGTTGGCAAAGAAATTCTACTCATTTTGGTTTCAGGAAAAATTATACTTGCCAATTTTAAACTATTAACCAATTTTTAGTGAATTTTTAAGTAGAAGGGGGTCTGCTGCTTAGGCAGCTCAAGTCACCTTGCTTTGAAACACATGTCCTGGACGTCAAACCTTGGATCACCATGAAATTCAGTAGTTAGGAGCAACTCTAAGTCAACCTCAACCACAAAAAAATTCAAGCACATAGAAGCTGTAGGAGAATGTTGGCAAATTTCGGAATGACAAGGGATCTGCTACCTTCAACTTGACATACTCTAAGTTTTCCTTCCCTAATCACCATCTAATTACATCTTTTAGTACCTAAATTGCTATATTATGATTCATTTGTCTTATTTTCATTAATTAATGTTATTTGATAATTTCAAAGAAATTTTTACCTCACTCTGGAATTTAATCTTAAATTCTTAACTTTCCATCTATTTTTATCTTTTAAGAATAAAATAAAAAAAAAATAAAAAAAAAAATAATCTGATCTTTTAATTTTTTTCTTATTTCTTTTAACCTTAACCTTTAAAATTTTACTTTTAACCTTCAACTTTAAATTTTTATTTTTAACCTTAACCTTTAAACTTTTACTTTTAATATTCAACTTTTACTTTTGTTATTTTTGAACTTTCACTTATCTTTTAATTATTAATTCTAACTTTAATTTTAATTTTATTTTTAACTTTTTATTTTTAATTTTGTAATCTTCCAACTTTCATCTTTTATCTTAAAAATCTTAACATCATGTTAATGCTGAACTTTAATATTTAAGGCTATTTATTACTGAATTTCCAATTCTAGATGAAGTTTTGTCATCAAAACTTCATCTGTAGATAACTTCTTATATAGAACTCCAATTTACATGGTTAATACTATCTTGGAAAGCCCTAGACTAGCACTATAGCATGGTATTCATTGTTTTTATTTTATTCTATTCTAATTCATAATTTTCAGAGTTTAAGTTTGATGGAATAAGTCTTGGAAAGTACTTAACTAAATGAACTACAAATGCTAAAAATCAAAGCATAGAAATGTGTAACTAACTTTTTGTGTTGTTGGATTAATCTTGATTATTATATCATTTTTTTCCTATCTTATATATGATTTGCATCTTCACATCAATTAATAATTAGCTCAAATCTAAATTATAATCTAATTAAATCAAATTTTAGTGAAGGGAGAAAAATCCACTCACAAATATATTTAGAAATTCAAAGATGTATTAAAGCCGATAAATAAAAAAATAAAAAAATAAAATATAAAATATAAATTTCTGATATTTATCTGATTAAAACATCGAGAAAAAAAAATATTAAAAGTGGAATTTAAATTATCAATTCTAAGAAGAAGAATCTTGATAGAACATGAGGAAGTGCATTAAGAGAGTGCTACATAAAATTAACTATGGAAAAAAAAGGTTGTCATAGATCCAAACCAATATGCTTCACCAATTGTCCTTGGGATATATTTATTGTTATTGAAAATGCAAGATGGATTGGAAATTGCTTTCTTTTTAGAATAAATGGAAGTTCTTTTGTTGTAGAAATTAATTTAATCTACAAAATAAACACTAAGTTTCCAATAAATTTTCCTCTAAGAATTCTTACTTCAAAAACTTGATCCATTAGACATATAATTACTAATTGGATTCTATTGCAAAGTCCTTGGCGAGGAGCAATATTTCTTAGTAGCATCATCAAAGTTTCAATCTTAAGACAAAGCCTTGATTTGGGCATTCCGTATGGATTAAGTGACTTGATGAATTTGACTGGATAAACATTATTGTTGTCAATACCATCTTCAACAACAACTTCATCAACACTTAAATAGTCTTGTTCTTTTCTAGAAAATATGGCCATAATCTTCTCATCAATAACTTTTATATCATCATTGTATGCAAATAAAATGATTTTATTTCTAGAAAAGGCATCATTTGCTATATTATCTTTTGCCAACCTTAAATAAATATCCACTAAATATATTAATTTTTGATCAACAATCATGTGATCAAAAAGCTTAACTATATTATTGGATAATAAGTTTGTACTATTTCCAGTTTGACAAGTAAAAAATAAAAATATTAATCAATAATAATATAACTATAAAGAATTCAAATGTACCACCATCTATATATACAATGTATGTGTGCATTCTATACTTAAAGAAGTTAATTAGCAAGTTTAATATTTGCTTGAAGTACTCTTGAATTCAACTTCATATTTGCTTTTAATATATAGATTTTTATTTGATGCTACTACAATTTTTTCTCAAGTTTCTTTTACCTATATTGGTAATATTTGGCAAAATCTCCACTAAAAACTATTGTAGTTCGTCCAAATGGACGATTAATATCTAAAATATCTCTAAAAGAATGATTGACTCCCTCAGGACAATAATAATGTTGCATTGGAAGTTCATCCCAAATAATAAGCAAAGTTTGGCAAATAAACTCAATATGGTCAAAATTCTTAGTAATTGATTAAAAAAAGTTTTTTTTATAATCTAGTAGAATCTTAAATGTACAATGGGCGGTTCTTCCTCCTTCAAGTAGTAATGCAATGATTCCTGATGATATAACATATATGATAATCTTTTGTATCAATCAAACTTTAGGTGCCAAAGTGTTATAGCAAAATATCTAATCAATTCTTGCAGATTTGTTTAGAAAAAATATGAATCCATATTCTTCCATTATAAAAGCCACAATATCATCATAAGCCACAACATTCAATACTTAGAGGTAAATTATAAGGTGACTGAGTCTATCAAGTCCTTCATTTCTTGAAATTATAAGGTGACTGAGTCTATCAAGTCCTTCATGTCTTTTCTGCTTCTCCATCAAGTCCTTCATTTCTTGCGCTAGCTTCCCACGTGCTCTTTGCGCCTGATCGAGAATAATTACTTGACATTAATTCATGACAATCGATCTTATGGGATGTATTTTTATTGAAGAGATTGTGTCCTCGAAAATCAGTTCAAGCTGATAATACAATTACAGGCATCTAATATCACGAACATGTTCGAATCTGCAGTACCTGCATGTAATCTACCGCCGAGATGAGCCGAGCACGTCGGACTACAACAGGCCACGCATTCTGGTCTTCATAGACTTCATCCAAGCCCGTCCGCTGCCAATGGTCGAAGTGTACCAAAACGTCTACTTCCATCGTAATTTTCAGCGTGAATTGTACCGTAGATAAAGAATATTTCAGTTCAAAGGGTACCATTTTCACCTCTTTCTTTTCTAGAACTTTAACCACCTTCACAATCACCAGTCCTCACTCTGTTAAGCCTCTCATAATTGCTCTATTATTGATGACCCCAGACAGACAATTGATGAGGCTATCTTGTTCAGCAAAACCGAGTTAAACTGTCTCTAGAGGCTTACATCACCAACGCGAGCCTCTATTACATTTATGTATAAGTTCTAAAGAAAAGCCCTCGTCGGAATATTTTAAGTTGGATAACCCAGTTGTAATAAAATATACCAATGAACTGCATGTTTTTCCATGAGCTGCAGAAGAGATTCAAACTTTACCTCCATATCTGCGTCTGGTAAGTAGCCCACTGTCAATTTGGTCACGTCCATCAAGAATGGATCTTCTAAGTGAATATTCTTCGATGACCGATCTTCGGGATCCTTACCTCTAGGATGTCTATTATCACAGCACAATCAGCTGCAGAGCGAGCAAAAGGGCCAATTTTGTCCTGCCAAATCAAAAAGTTTCAAAATTCTTCAGAACATGATGAGCATTTGTTTTTGTCAAATCTAGCGAAAGCAGTGTTTGTTTGCCAGAAATCCATCAAAGAAAATGAAAGGTTGGACAATCGTGCTAGGGAATTCGACAACATTCATAAAATTATTAGTTAAAAAATTTAATAACGCCAATCAGTTGAACAATTTCATGAACTGAAGGAATTCAAACACATACATATCACGCAACCTACCAAACTCTCCGATAAACTCATACTCCAGGATCTTCCAACCATCCCAAAAGTAGGACGCAAGGCTGTTACACCCACGCGTGCAGCTGGAAATGTAATTGATCCTGATGTCTCAGTCCCAATTGCAAATGGGACATTTCCTGCAACATCGAGATACAACAGGAATAAAAAACTATATATATATATAGTTAACTTGAAATACTCTCGATAGATATTCTCACTCCAGCGATAAAGAGAACCTAGCTGAAAATGAGTTCACATAATCTTACCTGCACATGTACTGCTGGCAGGACCAGCAGAGGAGCCTGTAGAACCTTCCTTGATGTTCCTGGGATTCTTGGTTTGGCCTCCAAACCAAATATCATCATAAGCTAATGATCCCGGAGCTAGCTTGGCTATCAGGACTGCTCCCTCCTCCTTTAATCTGAAAGTGAAACTCGTATTAAGAGTGTAGTCAACACTCTGAGAAGAAGTTTGAAAGCTTTAATGGCCTTTTGAGCCTGCTTGCCATCATATCCTTTCAAAGCTACCTCAAACCTTCAGTTGCTGAGCACACCAACATCAAATGAAAGGATGAGGAAAAGTTTTAGCTTACTTTTTGTACACGTTGGACTCTTTGTATATGACTTGGTCCTTGTAGGATTGTGAACCCCAGGTGGTTTCGTAACCCGGAACTGCAAAAATGTCTTTCAGGCCGTACGGTATTCCATGCAATGGTCCTGCAAAGCTATGTCAAATTAAAAACATTAGAGTTGCCATCATAACTTCAGTGATGATTTAATAAAAGATATGAAAAACAGACTCAGTCACCTTATAATTTCAAAGGACTAAATATCATACCATTCACATTATTTGGTGGGTTTAGAGAGGCTTCTAAGCATGTGCAAGTCTCCCTTTACTCAACACATAATTTTATCAGTTGTCTGCTACACCCCTGGTATCCATTCCATCTTCTTTTTGCAATGAATCAGTCCTACATTCATTATGTGATTTCCTTGCAGGTTCTGGCGTTAGCGATGGCTTACCAGTCTGAAACGAATCATCATCTTCAACGTCCTCCTAAAGATAAGATTGATCCTGCTGATCCCGCACTTTCGTCACCCCATAATGACTAGTCTACTGTAAGGATTTTGGATCTGGGTGTTCCGTTATATTCAACCACGAAACTGTGGTGTTGTAATATCAAGCAGAATTTCCAGACCTTTGCTTAGATTGCAATCTCATAAGTTCAAAGAATGTGAACTTATTGTGGATGAGCCTAGTAAACAGATTTGAACCTTTGAATTAACCACGGAAAATACGCGATTCTTTCAAGCCTTTTGTTTCGCTTGGAGTATTGCTTTGGTACCATGGAAGTCCGTTGTGCCTCGGGTTGAATGAATAAAGTTGATTTTTGATATAGTTACTATGTTGGGCAATCGCTTCAATGGTTGAAACTGTTTGTACTCTGAAACGCTGAAAGCTTTGCATCCACATTGAATGCTATATACCAATGTTACGGCTTCAAAGTTGAGATGGTGGCTTCATTGACAATTCAATAGGGATTAATCTGCTTCATCAATTCAATCAATATTAAATAGCAAGTTTCATTTCATAGAAATGATCACTCGTCCCTACAAGAGGATTTCAATCAATCAGTTGGCAAACTAAGTGTAGATTGTTGAATTCATCACCTACTTCATTTTCTATTTAGTACTTATAATAAAAATAGGGATTCATTTTAAATCAAATTATAATCTTTTTATGTACAAAGAATAAATTTAGTCTAAAATAGAAAGCAATTTGAATATAGTTGAATGATTTCTTATGTCATAATTTTTGCAATTTGAGCAAATTGTATGATTAAATATTAGAGTGTGAAGAAAGTATAAATTGATTAGAAATTTCATAATAAATATTAAATTTAGTATGTTAGGATTTATTACTAATGTTAATATTATAAGATTAAAAACAAATGGAATATGGTATATCACATATTATCCAAATATAATAAATGTAGTATCAAAATATTATAGATAGTATAAATATATATATATATATATATATATATATTTATATATGTATATTCATATAAAATATATTTATTATTTATAATTTATTTATTTATTTCTATAATTTTATATAAATAAATTATTCCATAAAACTTATGTCATTGTTTTGCACAAATAAAATAAAATAAAATCATAACACTAAATAGGTATTTTTATTTTAATTTCCAAATAAAATTTATTTCAATTCCTTTTTATCCAATTTATACTATATTATTTTTTATTATTTAAATAAATATATTTTATAGACTAAGTAATTTTGAAATGCTTAAAATTTTTAACCAATTTTTTGTATTAATTTTTTAAGATTTTCAAACATTTTTTCAATCCAACCTATAAAGTTAACTAAACATAATGTAAAACAAACATTGTAAAACTTCTTTTGTAATATATTATATGATTTTGTGATTTAATAAATTCTGATAGAATTTTTAAGAATATTTTTTTTTAATAAATATTTTTTTATTTTATTGACACATATGACATGATTAAATGAACACTACAATTTATGAGGTAACATTGTAGAAGAAAAAAGTTAAAAAGTGTAACAACTAATTTTCTTTTATACTATTTGAACACCTCACTAAAAAAAACCATGTATTTTAATCTTTAAAATATACATTTAAATGAAAAAACCAAAGTTTCTATATCTATCCTTTAACACATTTTCCAACATATCTTTTCTAACATATCTTTTGTGAGATTTTGAATCCATATGTAAGTGATGCATCTGAATCCATATATAAAGCAATCTAATCCTTTTCCTTCTCTATGAAACCATTGATTTGTTTTCATGCTTGAGAGCAACCAAATTGCAAATCCTCTAAATAACGGCCACAAGTATCCAATAACAGTTTCACTTTCGGAGAGATGGTGCCCAAATATGTAAAAATATCAAAGCTTAGATGATAATCGAGATTAACAGCCTCCACAAAAACTGATATTTGCATAATTCTACACTACTTTGAACTGTGGGGCATGGGAAGGAGCCAACGTGTACATGACAGGGCCACCATTTGTGAATCAATGTGCCTTCATCCCTCATGAACAACAACAACAACGAAATCCATGTCAAAGCAGTATAAATTGAATTGCAGCTTCCTCCAGTGGTTATGCTTTTGTCTACACATCCTTCTCTATGAACCAGTAACTGTTGCAGCGCTGGAAAGTGCTCGAGCAGGTGAGACACCGCTTGATCACAGCACAAGGAGCATTGGAGACATTTTAGCAGTCGTTGTTGAGAGATTGTTCATTCTCTCGTGGGCTACATTGCTGAATTTGTTGGAACTGGGTGAGTTTGTTGGTTCTGTGAGCCGCAGCTTGTGGAATACTTTACATATTTGAATGGTGTTCTCTCTTGCACACAGGCAATTCTAATGTGTTATTTCATTTGTAAGGTTCTTCATATGATTTTGGCTCACAGCTATGTACTTTTCACCTCAGTGGACTGTGTCTGCTTGATTGTGGCGCCTTGAATAATTTAGAATTCAACTTGTTCATGATTTGAGACGGGAGGACAGTTTATGTGCTGTTGGTTACACAACATGAGATGATGAAGGTCAAACCTTCCAGTCATGTCTTTCAACTTCGACTGCGAAGCGCTCCGCAACCATGTAACCACTGTATAGCAATCACTCTCTTCTGATCGATGTCACATGGTCTGCTACAGATCGTTTCACTGTAGTTGCTTAGTTGAACCTAATCAGGTCCAAAACCACCTATTACAACAGGAGGGTGTTGTCAGCTGTTAACTTCACAGAGATTTTAGGCATCTAAACATTAACATGCAAATCCTTCATTTGATGGGTCGTTACCCGTATCCAGCACATACAGTTATCCCTGCAATACACATTATAGGTCTTGAGCAATGTAGAATCGCTTTAAAATGAGAACACACCCAAAGAGGGATGCACGGAGAGAAAGACGGTTGATACTTAGGTCTGCCCTTAGATCTAACGTCGTTTAGAAATCAGGGATATTACATTGATGAGAGAAGTGCGACGCATTCATGAGGCCATCCGAAGGCTCACTCTATTGGGAACCATTCTTGCAGACAACTGGGATGAGAAGGCCTCCATGCTTGGCATCACCTGAGATGGGACCCCTCGCTAATTTGACCGACTCCTTCACGACTCTGTGTCACACAATACAGAACTATAACGAATTCCCAGATTGTGATCTGCTACAAAAATTCCACGCACCGATTAAATCATTTCCTCATCGCCACTGGCTTTAGGAATTGGATGAATCTATGCAATGACTTTTGAAATGCTTTAGATGTAGTATAGTTTCTGATCTAGTCTGTTTGCAGAAGCCATCAGAAAGTCTGAATCACCTTGTAGACTCTGCAATCAAAAGAGAGATGAAGCTTTTCTAACACGTCTGCATCTGAGCTGTTTTAGCGGTTACTTGCTTAATTTACGAAGAATTATTCGCATATCTGGTTGTCTAGTTCTCTCAGGCTGAAAAATTTCTAAACCCTACACCTGCTCAAGCTGCTTACGAGTGAGTCGTTCTCTAATTTATTCTTCCTCGTATTTTGAACTAATTTTATCTCATGTACTATCAAGTCATAGTTCCACAAATTCCGTAGCTCATGATTTGTAAATTTGATGATACTACCCGCTCACTCCATAAACGTATTCACGGTGATGTCAGAGGAATTTACACCGTGGCAAGTTGTGGGGCGGGATCCTGTCGGGGAATGGGAAAACCAGCTCACCTGCTCATCCATCCACCTAGTATTGGTTTCCGATGATTCTGTCGATCCCTTCACACAGAATTCGAGTGTCCTCAACGGATCCATGTGGTGCTTCACCGTTATTTCTTTTTAAATTATTAAATAGATGAATACACGAGATCACTAAGACCGAAAGATGAATATGAGAAGATTCAATCACCGCAAGAGTTTGCATTTCAATATACATTTTTCAGTCACGCAGAACACGTTGGGATCGATTCCCTCGTATGTCTTCGCTGAATATCTCTGGCGTGTCAACGATGGATGAACTGCTATATAAATATCGGATGGCTGCATGTCAATGCACTAAGTGCACGTATTTTTTGACACAATTCGAAACATGTCGCAATTGCACGATCTGAAAGTCGTGTCTGGTTGAATCATTCTCTTCGCAGGACTGATCGAGCAGAGGAAAGGTTGATTTGGACCAGATCATCTCTCAGGATTTCTGTAGACTTTCCCGTAACAACGTTCGTTCTAAATTAAATTCCTTCGACTAATTTTTCTACCCTTGAGGGCCTGCTGTGTGCTCTTTAAGCTTCACTAGCTAGTTTGAGTCATTCTAACATTTCTCAGCTCAATTGTGCCTAACCGGTGCCAAGCAGTAGACTATATACAAATTATTTTTTGTAGAGATGTTACGTCGTGGTTAAGAACTGCTCCTAACCTCTAATAACTGTGAGATATGTTCACCTTGTCTCCTACCTCGCTTTTGAATGTTGAAGATGTTACCCAGAGCGCAAGTAACATGAAATCGTATCGTAACCTTCACTTCGCATGTCTTTTATATAAGGGCCGCCTGGAGTCGTGAGGACTGGGTTCAAAATAAGCATACAGTCGCTGACGAATTCCTAATGATCAAGAGGAAAGACATCTGATGTTTGGTTTAACTGCGCAATAATAAATTCAGTTGATTTCGATATTTACTGCTTTCGATATGGTCCCAACAGTTTGAAAATAATTCAATGGAAAAGAGGATCAAAAGTTATTTGGCCGTCTCCAGAAACAAAAGCTAATCAGCACCAATGTGTTGTGATACAGGTCATTCAAAATCGAAGCATGCTATTGCCATCACTAGCGCAGCGGTTGGTGCAGTTGCGGGTGTATTGATGGCTGTTTGTGGTACTTAATATCTAGTGTAAAAGCTAGCAAGGTTGCGCCAACCTATTGGGCAGCTTCGGTGCAGATTTAGCGGGAAAAGTGTGCCAATGCTCATCTCGAACCACCGAAAATCCTTTGTTGTATTAGAATCCCTGTTTCTTAAACATTGAGTTCTTCACCATCTACGTTTTTGCCGCGGCTGTTAAATTATACTAGATTCAACTTTTCGATGTTTTCGATGGTTTGATCAAGTACATGAATTTGGGGTAGGGTGGTTTGTCGAGTTGTTTGTTTAGAATTTCAAAGTTGGTCGTATGTTGGCGATCAGGCGCGCTTCACAAACTGTCTCAAGCAACCAAGGTCTAGCTGGGTTTTAGAAAGAAGGTGATACCGTTTCGCTTCGGCCGTACATATCATTTCTTAGAATATGTTTCTATTGCGCTGTCGTCGGCTTTGGGCTGTTCATAGTAACTTGCCCATCTTAGACAGCGTTTTCATGTTCGTAGATTGGTTTTGAGTAAATCTGCTCTTCTTGCCTCCTCAATAAGAATTTGGGTTTAGTGTTCACAATTAGGGGCTTTGGTGTTTGATTCTCTTGTTGTATGCAATGGCAGATGTGGTTAATCCAAGTCCTCTTGCTAATTCGTCACCACCGCAAGAATTTTGTTCACTTGGAGGACTTTTGCAACGAACCCAGAATGCAGGTCGTATGGTTTTCGTTCAGCGAAGATCGACGCCACTGGTCACATGTGCTTTGGGGATTTTAGCGTACGAATGCATGTGAGAAAGAAATTCTCTATGCTCATCTTTTCAGTAAGCACAGACGTTTCACTCAAGCATCTGTGTGCATTGACAATTCTACTTTTGAGACCAATAGAAGTCAGTTGGTTTCTCTATGAATGACAGATTCGGAGTATAACTTTTTGCATCGAAACGCAACTAACAAGAATCTAAATCTATATGTTTTTATTTAATAGGAGATTGGTTAAAGCAGGCACTTGATCTGACACAGGAAGTTGGAAATAGCAGTAGACGTTGCTCAAGGCTTAAACATCTACACTCCTAAACTATAATTTCTGGTGTGTTCACTTTATAAAAATCTGAAGGAAATTGCAGCGGCTTAAATGAGTCCCATCATTTTTAAGCTATGTTTTTATTCCGCATATTGAATATGTCACAAGGGCGTAGGACCCCCTAACAATCCGCTGAGATGTTAAACTCTGCAACAGTCTGCTTGATAATCTATTGGAACAACAGTGGTCGACTTCAACATCACCAGAGCCACAAAAGAGTGTGCCACTTATGTCGTGACTCGACCCGGCTGGCACTTCAGGGTAACCGACCAATTCAATTGCATCTTCGTAGACATTAATTAGGAACTGCAGAGAAACCAGCCCATCCGACTGCATCTTCACCGACATTCCGCTGGCAGTGCATGGCAACCGACCGATCCGATTCCAATTTTGTGGATACTGTGCTAGCACTGCAGACGCTTAGCGTGGACAACGCTGTCGATAACAGTGCTCACCAGAATGCATGCCGTCGATAGACAGATCCATTGATCCTCACTCCTTTTCTCAGCCGGCGATTAGCGACCGCCAGTGACGTCGGTTGTCTGTCGCAGGTCGCGGCGACTGATGAAATAGGCATTGATCATGACAAAGGGTAATTAAGTTCGATTTAGTTTGGATTGGGTTCGATCGATTGCGCTGTCACTAGATCTTTGCGGGTTTGCCTCCGCATTCGGCGTTACATATCTAGAAGCCGAACTTGCCAGCGACACGCTAGATCGCAGTTTGCTTGCTTGGCCTGTGATTAGAATTTCGATTAGAGTTTCCATGACCATTTAGTGTCACAATCTCCCACCGGATTGTTATTTGCACATGCATTTCAACCAAGAACTCCACTTTCATGCGTTGTTTAATGAATACAAAGTTTGTTTCTACACCTGCTTCGAGTGGGATTCTTGGAGAATTTGGCCATAACGTTCTTAAAGTTCTATACTTTTCTATTAAATATGTTACATCATATCTAGTCTTGTCGATAGTATTACATATTTATTTGTTTGTTTTATTGGTTTAGAATATTTGGTTATTAAAATAGAATTTGAATAACTTTTAAAGCATGATTACATGATTTGCAAGATATAAGAAACTATTTATATTTAGGAGAGATGATGAAAAGCTATAACTTTTGGAAAGTCAGACAGGATGTAATTTTTTTCTGCATGATATGAAAATTGTTATTTTTGGAATTTGTGTTAAGGCCACCTCAAAAGATGATTTTTATAAAAATTTGGGAAGTTGTATCAATCCTCTTTAAATTAAAATAAAATTACTATGTATTTGTTCATTTGTTGCAATTGTTACAATGAAGATATTGATTGACATAATTAGAAATACAATAAAAGAATAATATGAATCATTTCTCCAAATCATATCATAACTATAATAAAAATTTGTATTATTGTAGAAGGTATTAACACAATAAAATATTAATAATAAATTCTTTGAATTCCCATTCAACATATATAACCCTACAAATACCATAAAAAAAATTTAAAAAATTTAAAAAATCATTTTTTTGAAAATACACTACTTTTCAAAAAAATAATGATTGAGAAAATGATTTTTTTAAATAAATATAAATATAAATACAAACCATATTTTTGTTAGTCTGTGTAGGCAACGCGAGAAGCGGGCCACCCACTTACACACACGCACCGTCCGGGACCAGGTCAATAACAGTAAATAATGGTTAATAACTCTCGAAAAAACTCGCTTACAAGCCGATCGATCTAGATGGATCACATAAGTGAGCGTGTGCGTGTGTGTAAGTGGGTGGGGTGGGTCTGCGTGTGCGTGTATTGTTTGCTACTTTTCCGTGTGCTATTAGTATCGCCGTGTCTTGCAAGATGTCCGAAGCGACACGTTCAACACAGCCCAGCTCCATACCAGACTTGGTTGGGTGGCGACGTTGATGCGGTGAGTAGGTGATCCCATCGCTCGAACAATCTTTCCTGTTATTGACCTGGTCCCGGACGCCGCTTTGATCGATCGGATCTTTGCCCGTGGTCGGCGACTTGACTCAGAGCCATCAGGAGCGTTTATAACACTGCAGACCTGTCGGCCGAGTGGTTGTGTAGCACTGAACCCTCCTCGCTCTGACATCCCTCGAAGCGATTCATGCAGTGCGATTTGCGCGTTTGAAAAAGATTTAGCGAGCTTTGGTCCGCGCTGCTTTTCGGCGGATTTGTTGCAGTGTCGTGGTTGTCTGGAGTTTGTGGTTTATTGTCGGAGGGTGCCGTTGTCGTTGGCTGCTGTTCAGCGCGATCGATCGGCTGATAAGCGAGTTTTTTCGAGAGGGTGCGCAGGTAGTTTGCAGTGGTGGCTTCGATTTTTTCTCAAGGAGGATTGTCATCATGATCCAGTGACTGAGAAACAGTAGATTAGGTTGTAGTGGTAACAGGATTACTAAGCGGTTTGATTCACCGGTAGGGTGTTTTACCCAAGGGTTGAGTCTAGTAGAACGATTGACGTAGATCTTGTTTTTGATTAATTTAGAGAACCTTGATAGTTGATGTGTTGATAGAATCACAGAAAGAATAATATTGCAACAGTGATATGTTGTACAATGATCTTACACGTGACTGGTCTGGGGATGGTATAAAGCCAAGAAGTGTTCTGGAATGTAATGTCGAGCGCAATGCTCGTGAGAATTGTAGAAGCGTTTGTAGTATTAATTCATCAAATTGGCCTTCCCTGTAATAGTAGAGATTTCAGTGCAAGAGCACGGTATTGCTGGTACTTGAGATGAGGCAGGCATTCTGGCAGTCGATATCTGAAAAAGCATTCCTACGGTCTGTGCAGGGTGTTATAGTTGATGTATGATATTCGTACTCGTGGCGAAAAATTTGCAAAACATTATCAATCATGGCGGTGGCGGATGCTTCCCACATGATGAAAGCTGTGAGCTACTCCAAATATGGCGGCGGTGCAGACGGTTTGAAGGTAGTTTTTCAGCTCCTTCTGGTTCTAAGGGTTTTGAGAGAAGAGACTGAATTCGATGAACAATTTAATTGAGACTGTTGAACTTTTGTAGGATGTGGAGCTGCCGATTCCCAGACCAAAGAGAGAGGAGCTCCTGGTGAAGGTGGAGGCTTGCAGTATCAATCCTATTGACTGGAAAGTCCAGAAAGGTGCCATGAAGCCTGTTCTGCCTTACAGATTCCCTCATGTACCAGGTTGGCGGTACTTCACACTGGATCAACTTAATCGTCCTCAATTCAACTGAGCTGCAATCTTCTTTCGGAAGAAATACAGATCGTGTTATTAGAATGAGGTTCAAGTTTTGAACAATACCTTAATGATCATGCAAGTTTCTTAAGAGCATTCGTGGCACCTAGTTACTTGAATTTGGAAGAAAATAAACTAGGCTCATTTTCAGCATGATTGTTTTTAACCTAAGAAGGACCTCTCAAGGATCTGCTCTAAGTGTGGTGATTTGTTTTATTTGAACAGGCGCAGATATTACGGGTGAGGTTGTGAGCGTGGGCCCTGCAGTGACAACCTTCGTACCTGGTGACAAAATCATCAGTTGCCTCGGCAGGGTACGATTTAATCCCTTTTCAGTTGTTTATGCGGAAAATTCTGTGCAAGTCTCTTACTAGACTTTAATGATAAAACTAAACCAGCTGTTTATTACAACAGCTTCAAAAATATGACTTCTGATAATTGATGCAACTTCCTGCAGGCTGGTGGAGGTTTAGCAGAATACGCTATAGCGCCAATAACAACCACTATTAAGAGACGCAAAGATGTGTCACCAGTGCAGGGCGCAGCGATGGGCATCTGTGCGTTTGCTGCGCTCCAAAGCGTTCGCAACTCAGCAGGGATTAACATAGAAGAGAAAAACAAAAAAAGCAAGAACTTACTCATCAGAGCTGCAGCTGGGGGAGTCGGCACACTAGCGGTGCAATTTGCCAAGCTGGGAGGTGCCCATGTAACCGCCACTTGCAGCCCCCACAACTTCGGGTTGTTGAAATCTTTGGGAGCAGACGAAGTCCTGGACTTATACAGTGCAAAGGAGGCAGCGCCGCCAAGCCCCTCTGGAAACAAATACGACGTGGTGATCAACTGTGGTCCACACAGGCCATTTCCTGATTATAAATCGCAGCTCGCACACAAAGGGTTTGTGATTGATTTAACTCCCTCCCCGACTGGAATAGCAACAAGCGCTCTGCACGCCATTTCTCTCTCCAAGAAGAAGTATTTCCCTTTCGTGCATATCCCCAATCAGGCTGATATGTACGTCATTTTTAACCTTCTTCACCAGAAAAGAATTAAAACTGTCATTGATTCAACATATCCTTTGGATAAAGCGAGGGAGGCCTGGGTTAAGAGCATGGAAGGCCACGCTGCAGGGAAGATTGTAATCACCATCTCCTAAGCCTCGCGAAGTATTCGTATACGTCAACCGATTTCATACTATTTTCGAGGCCTTTCCTTCAGTTTCTTTTCACAGCAAAATCAATCCACTTTTTTTCTATCTCTAAATGAAACCTTCGCTTGACTTTGTGGGAGCCAAGAAGGTGGAATAGAGTCCTCCAGTGCTCCTCTTGAGAAAACCACCATGAGTCGGAGCCGAGTGTAAAATTTGTATCTTTGTAAAGTTGTGAATAGAGTGTGAAAGATATAAAAGACACCCGGACAAACGCTAAAACTAGATTATATTAATTGGGTGATACGCCACAAGTGTTGGCAAGGCTATATCTTCTCCAATGACTTTTTAACTAGCCCAGAGGGAGTCTTGGACGATGAAAGTTTCATTGAGGACTTCAATAGAGACTCATATGCCGTGTGGTCTTGGTGGAGCTCATCTGTGACTGTCACATGAACAGATCCATGTAACACAAATCCACGTTCTGAAGTGCGATTGATAGTAATAAGACGGCACTTGTTGAGCACATGATATACTTTCCGAGTATTAATATTTTGTTGCGCCTGTGGTGACGTTTAAGCTGAAGATACTGTTGTTTCTTTCACTGGTGTGTTTCTGTACGTGTCGTGAAAACTGACTGGCTAACTGCCGGGTAACGGATACCGAAAGGGTTGCCGAACAACGCACAACTCTGAGTACTTAGAGAAAGAAGTTCAACTTTGATAAACCTGGAAAATACACAAGAATTCAACAAGGATATGTTACCCCATTTGCTTCGACGCTCTTGAAGAAGGGACTTCGTAAAAGGTGGCCTTCAAGCTGCTTATGATTGCAATTACAATTTGATGTCCCCCGAAACAAGAGAAACTTGCCATCATTCTTATTTGCATGAACATTTTGTCTCTTGCAAAAACTTTGTGCCAGGTTCATTGCTTCAAAACAGTTGGAAATATTCAGTATGTTATAACATGTAAACTTGAAATAGTATATACCTACATGTACATCTGTCTATCTATTTGTGTTAATATATATATATATATATATAGATAGATAAAAATGTATATCTTTCTGTGTGCAAATATTTACCTGTTTATAAAATTAACCTTTAAAATGTTGGGCAAATATCACACATGCCCCTGAACTTTCTCGAAATATCAAGAATACCCAAGTTTTGATAATTGCAAAAATGCCCCTCGAAGTGATAACCTATCTACTTCCTGTTTTTTTTAGAGTGAACTGGGGCCTGTCTGGGCCCCGCGCGAACAGGACGCCCCCTCCCCCGCTGCCCCTCCTTCGCTGCAGTCGCAGAGTTCTCCCAAACCACGTTCAACTACATTTGAAACAAATCCAAACACCAGAGTCCCCTGTCAGGCTTCCACACGACCAAGCAAGGCAGGCAAGAGTAGCGCCGCTGCCCTGAGCATATAAACTTGAGCGTTGAAATCAAATCTGGTTGGCAAAAACAATCAATGCTAGGATTAGCGCGAAGGAGATGACGACGACACCCGCTTGTCCCTTTGAGCGCGTCTCCTCAGCTGTGATCTTGTGTCTGCATCCTGCTTACAACAAAGTTCAAAAATGGGTTATAATTATGGGAATCGTGCAACGCTTCACTTCGTCGGCACCCAATCGGAGGAAATTGAATGAGTCTGGATTTTGCGACGTGGAAGTGATCACATGCGTGGATCAAGGAAGCTCGTTTGTACTCATATGCTGGTGAGAGAGAATTGACAATTACCTGCGGCCACGAAAACACAGTGCGCTGCTCTAGCTGTGACACTTCATCGTTTTCTACTTTACGACCCCAATCAGACGAAGCAAATCGCGCAGCCCGCTTTCTTGAGCCTCGACTTTTCCTGACATCGTCCTTCGACCGGCTGGAGAACACCCAGTTTCTCGACGTCATGGGGCTGACCTACACTTTCACCCATATGGGGCGCTTCGTGCTTTGCAATTTGGGATTAAAGCATCCTTGCCCCGCCATGTTGTCATTCAAGCTCTCTCCATCACAGTCGCCGTCGTGATCAATGCCATAGAATCCAAATCTCAACATTTTGTCTTCATTCAAAAACACATGTAGTCAGCCTGCTCTTTGATTACTCTTAGAGTTAGAGTTGAGTCTTCCGCCTTGGACCAAGAGCTCAGGGGCAACGATAGCTACCTGTTTTCGAAGTATGAATCACTTTATCAGGGTTTGATTCCCTGCCATATCTGCCATACTTGTGTTCCACCAGTAGAATCTCATCAATTCCAAAGCATAATTTTTCCAAAGATAATGTGAGATTAATTGATTGCAATCTCTCTAATATCCTAGCCAAATCTTCAATATATCCCTTGACAAATTTTTTGCAACCTTCAACTTCCATAGTCTCATCCTTGTCTTCTTTCCTATCTCCTTTTATAGGTATGTCATCCAAAAATGGAATGGTTTTTTCACACACAAATTCTTTTAATATTTGGTATATAGCATTCTACATATAAGACATTGAGCTGGTATAAGACCTTGAGGTAACGTATACATATTCATTAAATCCAAAAGAGTCTTCATGATGGTTAAATTCTTACTCTCTTTAGCCAATTGAAATTGATCATATTCAAAATATGAGTCTTCGATGGAATAAATGGCATGACCTGCAAATTACTCAATGACCTCATCTACTACAAGACTTGATTCCATGTTTGAAATAGTCACTTTGTTTGCAGGTTGCATATCCTAAATGAACCTTAATGTTGCTAATTTTTTAGATATTGTGAACCATCTATTAGAATAAGGAGCAATTGAAGGTTCCAAAATACCCATCTCCACCTTCTCTTTTAATAATTCTATCAATTTTAGAAGCAAAGATCTAGGCATATGTATAGGCTTTAAATCCTATGGAACATATGGCACTGTAAAGATTACCATACATACTACAATACTAGGATCTGTGCATCCAATCTCATTAGGAATTAAAGCAAATGTCTTATTATGTTCAATAAGCATTTTTTAAAATGTGTTTTTTTTCCATTGATGTCAAAAAATCACCTCCTCCAATCTTCAGTTTAGATAATGATTCTTGAATAAATTAATATCCAATTTTGATCTTCTTTCTTAAACTTGGCTCCTTAACTGCCTACTTGATATGTTCCATAGTATCAATTGGTAACTAGATAGCCACATGTTTTACCTTTTTTTTTCCATAGTTTTATATTTAGTTTAAACTTTGGCCTCATGTTTCAATCCATAGCTTGTAGCAAATCCACCATTTTCTACCATTTCTTTTAACTCCTCATAAGTCATTCTTAAGTATATTTCTATTATAGCATCTTTATCCTTATTTATAGCTAAATTCTTTAGAATTTTTATCAAATCATCCTATAAACCTACTTCTTCTATTATTCCAACTATATCTTCATGATGAAACTAAATCCATTCTTTTTAAGTTTTTTTCTTGTTTCTTCATCCTTCTTTTATTTATAGAATCTAAATCTTTAATCTTTTAAATACTTAAAAATCCATTATTAGTCAAGTTTAAAAATCTAAAACTCATATTATCTACATTAGGATTTGTAGATGATTCATTTGCACCTATGTGTTCCCATCTTATAAAGGTGCTTTTTAGAAATCCACAAAGTTCTTTTCTGACTCCAAAGACACCTTTCTTAATTGTTCTTTATGCCTCTCATGGATAGGTTTTAGAATAATAAATTGCATAATTTTTCTCCCATCCCAACTACAAATCCTAGCATAATGTGAATCATCATCCAAGATTCTAATTTCTATTTTAGCAGCTATAATATAGGACTAATAAAGTATTACTGGATATAAATCAAAGTTTTGCACAAAGAAATTTTGCTCCACTTCCACATCTCTAATCCTAATTTTTACAATTAAATAAGTTCCATATAAATCACCTTATTGATTGTTTGCAGCTCTAATTATCCAACCATGGTTGATATCAATTGGCCACATATTCTTCTCATGTATCCACCTTAACATGATGTTGATATCAAATCCGTGATCAACTAAGGCTAAAATTCGATCTTTAGAGTCTCTCAACTTTACATATGTCTTTGTAGTAGCTCTTATTCAATAAAAAATTGAATAGCTATTACTTTTTTTCTATTATTATCATATTTAAAGCAAGTATTTACACATGCTTCTTATGCAATCTTCTTTATTTCTATAGATCTCAAAGATGTGCATTCCATTTGATATTTTTATATAATCTCAACATATTTAAATAAAGCCTTGTCTCTTATATCAGCCTTACTTTTAATTTTTGGTATTGTAAATTGTACAAATACCTATCATATTTTTTCTTCCTCATCTATAGTTATTCATATATCCAATGCTTCTACTATAATAGCTTCAATTTTCATCTGTCTCTTCTTCTTTATTACATTGATAATCAATACATGGAAATGCTTCTTAGCTACATCAAGAATCTTTCATATAGTAAATTCAATTTTGGCATCCAAGATCCTCTCTTCTAAAATACTTTTCATATTTGTAGATGTCTCAATGTCAAATTGAAGCTTGTAAGCAAGATTCTTATCTTTAGATTTACTTAAGTTAGCTCTCTTCTTATCTTTATCCTTCTTTGACCACTCTTTTGATAATGATGTACCACCAAGATGAGTAGAAGAAGGTATTTTTTCTGATTTTTGCCCCTTAAAGGCTTCTTTATTCCTTAAAGACCTCTTTTAGTTTTTAAGATCAACAATATCCTTCCTATAAATAGTTCTACCTCTTTTTTCCTCAATCATAGCATCATGAAAATCATCATCATATTTGTTCTCATATAAAAATGTTTTAATACTAATAGCATCAATTGGATCATTCTATTTAGTTATTTTTCTCATAGCTTTAGCTCTCTTGATCATGGCTTTTGTAGTTAATAAGAAATTAGCCTTAACTATTTTTTATTCAATTATAATAGAATAAGACTCAATTCTTTTTCCTAATATAGTATTATTCTTGAGTATTTGCTTCTCCATCAATTTTTTCATGCTGCCTTTTTCAAAATTAGTCTTCAAAGGCTCACTTGACTCTATAAGTCTTATCCTATCCTCCTTGAAATATATAATATCATCCTTGATTGCAACCTTGTAACTATCATACTCATCACACTTGTGATTTGGATTGTCATACTACATACATCTCTCTACAAATTCTTTTAAGCCTTCAATTGTCTTTGATAAGCTTTCCATTTGAAATTTCTTCAACTTAGTCATTTCTACCTTCAAATCTTCTATGCCTTTGATCAATTCTAAAAAAGTATCATCCTTAAAAATCTTGATCATTTTTTCAGGTAGTACTAGATTTTAAAATATAGGTACTAGCTCTAGCCTTGATTTTAAATTATAAGTCTTAATTTTTTGTTGCTTAGTCAAAAGTCCCATTGTCTTTATTATTAACATTAAATTATTTGTAAAACCACTCTTAGATGTCTTGTCTATTAAATAAAAGATCGGCTTATCTTCCAAGTATTCATCAATTGCTTACAAAAATAATCCAATTTTTCTTCTTTTCAAGAATTTCCT